GACATCAAGCTGGAGGACTAGATCCTGTTTTCAAACTTGTTTTTTGTAAAAATAGAAAATAACAACTTATTCTGTGTTGTTCTAATAAAAAACATTGTTTTTGATATGCATATATTTTAATTTTATTCTTTGTTAAAATGTGTACCTGAAATACTGAAATCTTTCAGATCAGCTAACAATACCTTTATAACTTATATAGCCAAGTGTTCTATCTATTTTTGTTCAGATCTATTTTTGAGCTTGCCTGTTTTCAAAGCATAAAAAGCAAAAAAATAAAGCAAAAGTACTTATTTTTAATTTAAAACCTTTGGAATGCACAGCTTAATGCTTTCCACTAAATATTACAAAGTTTTCGTTCATTATAATGTTGTTTTATCAGCTTTAAAACCAGATAAATCCACGAAACACTCCTAATATACGCCGCCATATTGATTTTCTGTGCGCATGCTCAGACAAATTGCCTACCTGTTACTTTCACCTCGGCCGGTTACAAAACTCAAATGCCGTGTCGACGTGAGCTGTGATGTTTCCTGACAAAACAAAAAACGTCTACTATTATTTAATAAGCTGTAGTTTTCTTTCTACAGTATTTATAATGTAGTCCAGATGTCTGATGAAATACTACGCGTATTGCATTGTACTATTGTAGTAATATTTTAATTTACAATATTCTATACTGACAAATAAAAGCAAGACAAACAATTAAATGAAACTACTAATTAATTTAGGCCCTGTTTACTTAATAGCTCTACGCCTAGGACGATGTAGTCTCTACAAGATTCGTCACGCCACCGCCGAGTTTTACAGTTTCAGAATACCTCGAATACTTGAAAATTGCGATTATACGATAAAATCAAACAAAGATTGTGAAGGGGATAAAATTTGTAGGCAAGCATTGCTCCTGAACGGCAAGTGTTGGTGTCCGGCGAAACAAGCGAATCCGTATATTCAGCGTAAACAGGTTACGCGAGGTTTTATATTTGTGTTTATTTATATCGAACTAAGTCAGATCTATAAGAGCATATTTAAACTAAATATAAAAATTATATCAATAGCCATATTGTTGAAGACGAGAGAAAGTAAATTTCGTGTGAATCACCACTTGCATGGAGACGCCTAGATGCAGCTTGGATGCAGCTTTGCTTGTGGTTAAAAATCTCCAGAAATATCGGTATATCTTCAGAACATCGACGGGGTCTTCAGAGATTTTAGCTGATTCGTGCCAAACTTCGCTACACATAAATAATATCGATTGAGAAGTCTTTTGGCTGTTTATTTGTTTCGAAGACTTGTATATTTCATTAAAGAATATCTCGCCACTCCTTGACGAGTAGCTGTCCAATACTGCCATTTTTCTGGTAGTCACGTGACCGGCCCAGACCAGGGCTTCCTCGTCTAGCCCCTCGTCCTCACACGAAAGCCCTGGGAACGAGGTTGAAACAGAATTAAACGTAAACTTTAAATTTGAAACATTAGAGCAGACAAGTCCAATGCGAATTTGGCATCGTGCATCTGGGGTCTATTAAAGGGACGAACCATTGTCCATCGAATATTTGAAGGGGGGGGGGTCTGTTTCTTAAGGCAAACACTTTTTTCGTTGATTATTTAATTTATATTGCATGACCTGATTAGATTGGATACTTTTATGTGCAAACATTTTTAAGGGTTCCCCTCCAAAAATAATCTACCGTCCCTACTAAATAACGACATTTAGCCACGTTCGTACTACCCTATGTATGGTCAATACCGCTGGCATAATTTTACTGCATTGGTGGCGAGGAAACGAGACAATATTTAATTTACTTATAGATTATTGAAAATAATTTGGGATACAAGTTATTGCGGTAAATATAGATTTTCATAAATTCTGACAACCCTATAATGCCATTTATTATGATTTTTAGAGATGTAGAGTAGCCAGAAATTCGGACAAAATTATTTAATAGGGTTGTCAGAATTTCTGACAATCCTATTGGCTTGGCTGTTATATAATTTTTTTCTGATTTGTAGAGATAGGGTTGTCAAAAATTCTGACCCTATCTCTACAAATCAGAAAAAAATGATATAATAGCGCCAAGCCAATGGGGCTTAGCATATTTTTAAGGTATTTTTTCTCGCCAGCAATAGGGGTGTCAGAAATTCTGACTACCCTATCAGTTAGCGTATTTTTTAGATATTCTCTCTGACCAGCAATAGAGGTGTCAGAAATTCTGACACACCTATCAGTTAGCATAATTTTTTAGATATTCTCTCTGACGAGCAATAGGGGTGTCAGAAATTCTGACAACCCTGTCAGTTAGCATCTTTTTTAGATGTTCTCTCTGGCCAGCAATAGAAGTGTCAGAAATTCTGACAACCCTATCAGTTTTAGATATTCTCTCTGACCAGCAATAGGGGTGCCAGAAATTCTGACATCCCTATCAGTTAGCATATTTTTTAGATATGTTCTCTGGCCAGCAATAGGGGTGTCAGAAATTCTGACACCCCCATCAATTAGCATATATTTTAGATATTTTCTCCGGCCAGCAATAGGGGTGTCAGAAATTCTGACAACCCTATCAGTTAGCATATATTTTAGATATTCTCTCTGACCAGCAATAGGGGTGCAAGAAATTCTGACACCCGTATCAGTTAGCATATATTTTAGATATTTTCTCTAGCCAGCAATAGGGGTGTCATAAATTCTGACACCCCTATCAGTTAGCATATTTTTTAGATATTATCTCCGGCCAGCAATAGGGGTGTCAGAAATTCTGACACCCCTATCAATTAGTATATTTTTCAGATATTCTCTCTGGCGAGCAACATTTTGACAACCCTATCAGTTAGCATATTTTTTAGATATTCTCTCTGACCAGCAATAAGGGTGTCAGAAATTCTGACATCCCTATCAGTTAGCATATTGTTTAGATATTCTCCCTGACCAGCAAAATAGAGGCGTCAGAAATTCTGACAACCCTATCGGTTAACATATATTTTAGGTATTTCCTCTGGCCTCTGGGCAGCAGTTTGTGTGAACACTATTGTTTTGTGTCTGTCACTTTGCAAAAAATCCGTTTTTTCATAAAACTGGCCACCATGTCGCATATATATCTTTTTCATCGAGTTTGTGCGTATACTATTGTTTTGTGTCTATCATGATCAGTTCGCAAAAAATACGGGTTTTTTTATAAAACTGGCCACCATGTCGCATTTTCCCCTTTTTTATCGAATTATGCCGAAAATTCTAGTTTTGTAATATCTCAAAATAGTTTGGAATGCGTTATATTAATTTAAAAGTAGTAGTGTAAAATTCGTTGGGCATCATACATGCAGGGCTTCTACGCTTGTGGCTCTCAGGAGCCCTGGGATATCCAATCCACTTCCGTCTCACGGTCTCAGAAGGTAATTTGATTGATCAATGCAAATACAATGAAATGTTGAAAGTTATTCATTAACCGGGTGTAGCGGCCTGCGTAGCGGCTCTCAGGGAAAGGAGAGCCTGCACGAAACCCCATGCTTTTCCGTTTTTACTCGTTCTCCAAGAGAACGAGAAATCTGATTGACTCAAAATGAAAAATATTCTAATTTATGCTAAAATAATCATTGATTGATAATTTGATTGTGAGACTGTTTCTTGAGTATTGCATTCAAAAGAGCTTAAAGGCCACGATTACATTTAAGGATGGACAAAAAAGGTATTTACGAACTTTGTTCATGAAGCTCTAGAGAAAGAGTGGCTGTGGTGTCTTCGTTGGATTGCTGTCAGTTAGCCGAATCTCTTTCACGAGCATGTCGTTTTCATTGACGACAAATAGATTTTTTCTCGATGATTTGGTAGCAAATAAATTTGTGCCAGGAGAGAATTTCCGTGAATGCTTACAAACAGGACTTGCTCTCTCTGGAGTGACGGTTTCAGACACTTTTCTCTTCCCTGCATCGCTCGAAACCTTGATATTCATACCACGG